AGGAGCTCAGAGATGATGATTACCTCTGTGAGTGGTTTATGGCTGAAGGATATACCACATTATAGCAAACCCACGTGGTGTTCTCTCTCGGTTGTTGTCTTGTTGTAATGCACTTTCCCACCAAAATTCAGGAAACTGGGGGCTATTTTTTTTTTATAAAAGTCATACATTCTTGTGGAAGAGGAAATTCTTACGAAGACTTGATGTTCGGATTCATAGTAAAAGTCAGATTTATGCCTCCTTGCATAAAACGAGATATGCTTCGTTCTGGTTATAAATACTGTTTTCATTAAAAAATTCACAGGCGTGCACGCTTAAGAGCCCCATTCGCACTACACTTGTCACAGGAACTACTACTGTTGGATTGGATATATTGCCCCAGATTTAATCGCGATAAACAATATTATTATCATTTTATGCCACTGATATAGTAGTGTAGTGGCATTATAATGGTAGAAGTATACCCTTTCAGAGAGCAATAAACTTTTAATTCTTAAGAATATTCAGACATTAGAATTGGAATGTCAAAAAATGGACTCTCAGGCTTGGTTAACAAAAATTGCATTAAATTGGCTTCACTCAGTGATGCGAGCAAACCTCGATTGTTCATTGGCCAGGGGAAAGGTAGCAGGAAGTCAGAAAGAATTTGGACCAAAGATAGGTACCTTTTCTACCCTCTATAATCAGAATGCGGATTTACAGAATGGTGACTGAGAGAGTCCAAAAATACTGGCATTTATATGATTCCTTGCTACAGGATTATAAAGACTCCCAAATGGCTAGAAAGTAAAACAAAATATGTTTGGTCTGCAGTGCCATATACCTGTGTATGTTTTTGCATCAGTGTTAGTGTTGATTTAGCTTTTGTATTATTTATTATTTGAAATCTAGCTTAGTTTTAGGTGTGGTTTCATTTTTTTTAATTTTAAGGATGTAAAACTGTTTAATTGTAATATATTTTACATTAGGGTTTAGTCATTTTAGTCATGATAATATGATTTTCACAATGGACATCTTTTCCATTTCTTTGTTGTGCTGCAAATATTACAGATACACTTCAAAAACAAAATAACTTAATTCCTCCATCTCACAAAAAAAACACTACCATTTTACATTCTAGCTTTTGTGATTCTGTACGAATGTGCTTACGTGTAATTAATTAATTCCTCCATCTCACAAAAAAAACACTACCATTTTACATTCTAGCTTTTGTGATTCTGTACGAATGTGCTTACGTGTAATTAATTAATTCCTCCATCTCACAAAAAAAACACTACCATTTTACATTCTAGCTTTTGTGATTCTGTACGAATGTGCTTACGTGTAATTAATTAATTCCTCCATCTCACAAAAAAAACACTACCATTTTACATTCTAGCTTTTGTGATTCTGTACGAATGTGCTTACGTGTAATTAATTAATTCCTCCATCTCACAAAAAAAACACTACCATTTTACATTCTAGCTTTTGTGATTCTGTACGAATGTGCTTACGTGTAATTAATTAATTCCTCCATCTCACAAAAAAAACACTACCATTTTACATTCTAGCTTTTGTGATTCTGTACGAATGTGCTTACGTGTAATTAATTAATTCCTCCATCTCACAAAAAAAACACTACCATTTTACATTCTAGCTTTTGTGATTCTGTACGAATGTGCTTACGTGTAATTAATTAATTCCTCCATCTCACAAAAAAAACACTACCATTTTACATTCTAGCTTTTGTGATTCTGTACGAATGTGCTTACGTGTAACATATACAACACACGGCACGCACGCTTTCACGTGGAGTATGAATCCGCTATGAGCGCGTACAGCACAGAGCAGATGAGAGGATGGAACCGGTGCGACTGGCTGAAATGTTGGGGGCATTCATTCTTATATAATCACAATTTGCCAAAATTGAGGTCAGAAAAAATGACTGAGGTTATGTCCATA